GACGTCGACAAAAGTTGAATTTTCTTGATTATACAGAGCTCTGAAGTCTGAAAAATTTTACTTCGGAGTTATTTCAAGAGTACAAGTCCAAATCTGAAATCATTCTTTAGAGTTATACTTAAGGGTTATTTTTAAGAGTACAAGTCTGAAAAGTCGTTCTAAATTTACTGCTAAGTTTAAATTCAACTTACTGATATACTTTCATTTCTAAATTTAATTTTATGCTAGGGTTAACTTCATTTTAACTAATTATCGATATAGTTTCAATTCTAAATTCAAGTTTGAAGAGTCATTCTTCATAATCATTTCAAGAGTACAAGTCTGAAGTAGCATCATACTTTCGATGATCATTCATATTTGTAAGATAAGTTCCTGACATGATTTAATTTTTTCAAATTACTTCGTGTAATACACGGGATCGAACCTAGTGTGTGTGTGTTTTAAAGAGGCAGAGGTTAAAACTTTTAAATCATTCTCAAAATTTCACCCTTCAACTTTCAGCATTTATCCAAAAGCAACCCAAGACTTTACATAATTAAAACCCGGTTATCACAAATACTAAATGAACAATCTCTAACTTGTTATACCAAACTACCAAACAAATACCATAATACTAAAATTCAACATTAAGGGACCGTTTACCAAATACTTACCTGAGTAAGTGCTTACCAAGTCATATTACCTCATCGGATGAATATGGTAAGGACTAAGAATCTTACCCGGTAAGAACGAGATAAAGACTATAAGTCTTACCCGGTAAGTGAGGGCGATGACTCTTACCATGGTAAGCGCCCATGGGTGAATTGTTGCATACAATGTCGTTTTGATGGATCAAAATCTTACCCGGTAAGTAAATAATAGTGTTAAATTTTACCCGTAAGCACTTACCCGGTAAGTGTTTGGTAAATGACCCATAAGAGTGTCTTTGCTAAAAATTCGAATTTCATAGCTATAATTGAAACTATAGTAAATCAACATCAAAAATTTCAAACAAATGAATCTTTAGGGGCTGTTACCAAATGCTTACCGAATAAGTGTTTACTGGCAAAAAATGTCATCCTTACATGCCTTATCGTGTAACATTCTCGACCATCAAAATGGATTGTTGGTAAATGTCTAAAACTTAGTAAGCACTTACCAGGTAAGAGTCTTTTCTCTCATTTACCATATAAGACTCTCGACCCATGTTATGCCTCTTACTGGGTAAGATTATTGATCATTGTTATGCCTCTTACCGAGTAAGATTATCAGTCTTTTCATGCTCAATCAGTAAGCATTTATTCAGTAAATGTTTAGTAAACGGTGCGTTAATCCTGTTTTACCCTAAATTTTCACAAGCACAGACAACAAGTCACGACATCAAAGAAAATAAAAGGCATTTTAAATGAATAGAAATACGAATCATTTGGATTAATCCTTTCAAATTCATCGACGATCAACGGTAAGTCGTCGGAGTCGGTGATCTGATTTAAGGTTTCTACTTTCTCTCTTCTATATTGTAAAAAAAATAAGCTAAAACTAATTAAATTGCAGTCCTCTACTACGACTTCTTCGAGTTTTCCTTGAACCTTGACCCCACTTGTTGATCAGTGGCACTACAAAAAAATCGGGTTTATAAGACACTCTCAATTTCTAAGCGTCCTTATAGACCTCTTTATAGGACTTAGTTTATAGAACCAAAAAATAAAGCGTCCAATCTAAAGGCGTTGTAATAAGTTTATATGACGTTTTTGACGTCGTAATAAGTTTTTAGGACACTTTTAATACAAAGTGTTACGTTAGCAACTTTATAGGACACTATTTGAAAAATTGTCCTATAAAAACAAATGTCCTATAAAAAATTGAGTTTAAGAACACTTTCTCAAAAGTGTCCTATAAAGTTGCTAATACGACACTTTGTATTGAAAATGTCCTAAAAAACTTGTTAAGACGCCAAAAAGCGTCATATAAACTTATTACAGCATCTTTAGATATGACGCTTTATATTTTGGTCCTATAACTTAAGTCCTATAAAACGGTCTATTGGGACACTTAGAGATTGGGGGCATCCCCTTGGATCTAATCATATGGCACCATACAGCGATCCCATGTTCTAAATAGCTCACACTAGTATATGCATTTGACACCTTCTAGCTTGTGTTATAGCTTAACTAACAACCTCATATTCTCTTGTGTGTTCTATTACATAAAATGAACGGACGATTTCATTAAAAATACCAATAATTAATAAAATTTTAATTAAATTTATAACTTTCTGACATATTAAAAGAAAACTAGAAGGGTACTCGCGCAATGCAGCGAGATACATCTTGATTTTAATATTTCATTTTATTATTTATTTCAGTAAATGTTATAATATGGTCTTATGTGATTTCGAAAAAACGATGATGTTTTTATTTTTAATAAAATATAAATTTGAAGAAATTATAAATATTTGACAAAAATATATCGATATTAGTATCAAATTAACTATTCAAAATTCTTTATTTTTTGTGTAATTTTTAATTCAATTTTTTTTCATTTATAATTTAATTTAGGTTCAATAACGAAGTAATTTATATTTGGTTTAATAATATAATTTTCTTATAAAGATAATAATTAATTATTTTGTTAGAACTCGATAATTATCGTAATTATATTTTAGATTTTTTATATTTTAAAATGAGATTTTTATCTTCTATTTGATTATGTTTATCCACAGTTAGTTACACGAATTCAAACATGGAGCTTTAATAAGTTGTACTTATGCATAATTTACTTGTAATCTGAAATTTTAAGTAATATGCATCAATGTACAGTACTTCATACATAAAAAATAGTTTTTAAGAGTTTTTGTCAAATGCTTTATAATACAGTATAGATATGCTTTATACTTAATTATCAGAAGGTTATTAATTTATTAAACTCTCGTTTTAAGGTTATCTACCTAAACATCTCCTTTCTCTATCCATACCGACTTACTATTTATAAGAAACCGAATATATCATGATCACGCATCACGTAACTTTTTATAATGATCTTGGATTTTTTTTATCGGCAAGATTTGTTGATCAAAAACCACTCACCCGATTCAGTTTACCCGTTCAAGAAGAGCAGTGTAGTTTTCATCTACATTCTTCGTGTTGACAATGACATAAAGTTGTCATGACAAGCGATAAAAAATGAATTTAACCATTATATTAAATATTTAAACTATAATAATAGATCGTGTACAGTCTACATGACGTTTCATTTTCTTATTGGTTCACGTTACCTTCATCTTATGATATCATAACGTGTATGATTTGACTTGCATTTATTGAAAACCATTCAGTTCAGTTGAATACACGTATACTGAATTCACCTACCAAGTACAACATGTTTGGAACTAGGGTTCGAAAAATCTTTTTAACGAGTGTGCCGAATTTCTTATTTTATGATTACGAATATGGGTCATGTATATTTTTGAATGGCGTTGGGCAGAACCGCAGAAAGCCGATGATTTCGACGAGACCCTTGGGCGTAAAGGGCACGTAGGCGGTGAATCGAGTTGTGGTAAAGGGAGGATGTTAGGGGAAGTAGTGAGTGGAGATTCTCATGCAGAGAGTCGGATGAGGTGAGACCCTCACATAAATGAAAACGAATATAAATGCTGAAATTGAAATGGAAAGACAGAGGATAAAGAATCTGTTAATAAGTTTATATGTATCTGAGGTATATAGTCGGTTTGTACTATGGTACCTTGTTTTGACTGTATACTGCTATATCATTTGATAACTTGATTTAACAATATCGTTGAAAATTTTACGAAGTTACATCAATACTTGTCAATAGTACGTTTAATTTTAATGACCGCGATAACCATAAAGCATTAAAGCATGACACAACTTCTTTTTTTTAACTTGTTCTTTTTTTTTTACAAATGGTATCAGAGCCGATCTTTGTATCATCGGGATGGTGGGGCAAACCTCGTCGGATATGATGAGTCTTCGAGGGGTGTGTTTGTAACATCTTAGTCGAATCTCATATTATTGATTAGAAGGAGGAAGATTTTGGACAAGTCTGATAATAATATCAGTAATTTAAATAACTTTTATCATGATTTTATACTGGAATTGTAATTATTAGATTAGCTAATAAACACAACCCACAAATAAAGAGTATAAATAGGATTAATCATTGTTATTGAATTGGATAATCATGTCCTTTTTCCACTATAGCATATACAATATATATATATATATATATATATATATATATATATATATATATATATATATATATATATATAATCCCCATTTAGATAATAAGTGTTAGGTTTAAGGGAGAAAAGGATTGCTAGTGGTTTACTACTATGCAATGCACAATAAGTAGTTTTTATTAATTAGCACTAATTCAATGTATTAGCTTTTTAAATCATGATTATTGATATCTTAGTTTTCCTATAATCCACGTTTTTTTATATAAAACATCTTAGGGCCGTTTACCAAATGCTTATTCGGGTAAGCGTTTACTAAGTCACGTTACCTCCTCACCGGACGAATATGGTAAGGACCAAAAATCTTACAAAGAAAGAGCGAGACAATGACCACGAGTCTTACTCGGTAAGTGAGGGTGACGAATCTTACCACGGTAAACACTTATCGGATAAATTGTTGCATGTAATGTCGTTTTTGTGGACTAAAATCTTACTCAGTAAGTAAACAATAATGTTAAATTCTATTAAGAGTCAACCTTTGAATCGTTAAGAGGTGAATCTTGTTTGGCAAAAAAAAAAGTGTCTCTTAATGGTTCTAAAATCATCTGAATGATTTTGTGTCATGGATCTCCCTTAACCATTAAGAGCCCTAATTTCATTGTACACAATTATCAAACAATTATATTTTATTTTGCACTATATCATGAGAGCCTCTTAATAATTTTGCACCAAACCATTTATTTTATGCACAAGTTACAAGTAAATGAACATAAATGAATATATCTAAGCAATTAACCCTTTTTTTTGTAATTTTCATAAGCATGTTAGTTGTTTAGAAGCAAATCAGTTATTCAATTGATCGGTTGGAAGGATCGAAAAGGTATTCTTTCCATGTAGCCATCTCATGTGCCACATCGAGCATCGTTGGTCTGGTTGACGGGTTGTATTGTGTGCATATTAACCCGAGTTCAATGAGCTCCAAGACCATGTCGTGCAGTAGTTTAGTACTGCACGACGTAGTAGTTAACGTTGTAACAGGTGTGTAGTTTTTGAGGGCTTCTTTTACGATGAGTTCGAGTTTGTGTGGATACTGACTCTTCACCCATCCATGTAAAGTCGAACCCTCTTGAAAAACCATATCCGTGGGCCGTTTTCGTGTCACCATCTCCAACAACAAGACCCCGAAACTGTAGACGTCTCCTTGTGTCGACATTCGTCGACCCATGCCGTATTCTGTATTTTAAGAACACGAGAAAGTGTTGGTGATTGCCATATTTCGTTACAATATTAATACATTTTGCTTATATAAATATTATATACTGATGAAAATTAAAATGGAAAAGTACATGACGTGCTTAATTGTGCCGTTAGACAACCAATTGAGCACGTCATGGTACCATAAAATATTGCTTACCGGGAGCAATGTAACCAATCGATCCACAAAGCAATCCGTCAGTCGAGCTAATGGAAGGGGAGCCGCCGGCCGCCATCGGGATCTTCTCGACCTCGTCCTTCACCAATTTAGCGATGCCGAAATCTGAAACTAAAGCATTCATGTCATCATCGAGAAGAATGTTGCTCGGTTTGAGATCACAATGAGCCACCTTRACCGGTGCGTAGTGGTGTAAATAAGCTAACGCTTCGGCCACATCGCTGCAAATGCGAACCATCTGAACCAAGTCCACACGGCTTAACCCGTCACTTGGGTATAAATGGTCCTCAAGGCTCCCATTCTGCATCAAAGGAAGAACGAGAGCCTTGAAATCAGGTCTGCTACAGATCGTTATGATCCGTACCAGATTCCTATGTCGGGTATTCCTCAAAACTTCACATTCTTTCTTGAAACTCCCCACGATTTCAGCGGTTTTCGCGTAGCATATAACCTTCACTGCAACCCTCGTGTTGTCTTTGAGAACTCCCTTGTAAACTTGCCCGAATCGGCCTGATCCGATCAAATTCGAGCCTTTAAATCCACCGGTTGCTTCAATGAGTTCTTGACGAGAGATTTTTGGGTAGCTTTGTTCTTTTCTTTCTTGTTCTTCGTCTTCTTCACAACCGAGTTTTCGGCTAAATATTTTCAAAAATCTCCTCTTCGGTTTCGACTTGAAAACTACAGGAATCAGAGACATCAAGAAGGTGGCAATCGCAAGTATCGTTATCAAAAGCGGCAGCCGAATCAAATTCTTCTTTCGCCTGTTTTTGCAGAGCGGCAGCCCCGCGATCGAACTACTGCAAAGTCCGGGGTTTCCGAGAAAAGAATCTATATTAAGAAATGGAAACGACGTGTTSCCGGAGAAGTTATTGWAYGAGAAGTTAAGTTGYTTSAACRTMGAAGATGYCGRGAAAGATTCCGGGATCTTTCCCGACAATCTGTTCCTCGAAACATCAAATGYYTCWAGGAACGGCAGTTTTCCGAKKGAATCTGGAAGAGGGCCTTCGAATGCATTRCYGGARAGGTTGAGGAGTTCGAGTGCAATGCAGCTYCCGAGCTGTGCTGGAATTAYGCYGGARAAGTTGTTCGAYGATAGRTCCATGGCCAGAACCATGTYCATCTTGCTGAGCTCCGATGGCAGAGGTCCATCCAGYTGATTGTATGAGATGTTTAAATACAACTTCAGGCTGTTCAATCTTGCGAAATCACTYGGAATYRAACCCGAAATTTGATTATGCGAAAGGTCGAGAATCTCCAAGTTWACRCATTGTGCCAGGCTCGTGGGGATCRTTCCCACAAGCCTGTTGTTATGAAGCAAGAGTCTTCGTAGCTGCGAAAGACTCGAGAATGCGTCCGGGATTGAGCCAGATAGTTGGTTTTTTGACAAATCGAGAAGACCCAACCGGGACGCGTTCCCGAAATCCGACGGGATTTCACCRGAAAGCGAGTTATTYGATAGGTAAAGRCGTTCGAGTTTCCCCATTTGGAATAGCTCATGCGGGATCGTTCYGTTCAGGAAGTTGCTAGACAAGTTGAGAAGGGTGAGGTTCAYGAGGTTCGAGATATTSSGAGGAATCYCTCCGGATAYCTYATTGTYATCGAGATGTAATTGGACCAGACTYTTGGAAAGATCCCCGATRATGTCGGGAATCTTTCCRTACAGTCTGTTTCCAGCYAGCTCGAGTTCTTGCAAATGTTGRGAGTTAGATAAAGYCGAAAAGAAYGGYTCGAGAGGGCCTGAGAAAYGGTTGTACGACAAATAAACRAACTGCAAGTTCGACAAGTTCTTCACMGTCTCAAACGGCAATTCCCCTTCGAAAAAGTTCGATTCTAAATCCAACCATTTAAGCTTKGAGGAATTAGAAAGYGCWCGAGGAACTCGACCCGAAAGTTGGTTCGACCAAACGAGAAGAAACCGTAACTCTTTAACTTCACATTCTTCCTTCAAYGGAATCTGACCGCTTATCGAGTTATTCGAGATATCAACATACTCGAGCGCTGACGAGCCGTTACAAAAAAGACTTATCGGTATCTCACCTACGAGCTTATTGCTTCCCAAATCAAGATATTGTAGCCGAAGAAGAAACCCGATCTCAAACGGGATTTTCCCTCGAAGAAGATTCGACGATAGACTWAACTGCTTGAGCTCCACGAGATACCCRATCTCTYGTGGAATCCCRCCCTCGAAGAAGTTTCTAGAAAGATCCAAAACCGTTAAYCTTGAAAGYTTGGAAATGGCTGGAGATATAATACCGTGGAGCGAAGCTCCACTAAGRTCTAACTCGAGAACRGAATCACGATCGGCATTGCACGTGATTCCAGTCCAGTTACACATATGGACCTGCGAAGAACTGGTCCAGTTCTTGAGCACGTTTCCGGGGTCATTTCTGACTGCGAAGACAAACGTGAGGAGAGAAGCTCGATCGTTAAAAATTCGAGCGTTTTTGTTTTCTTGTGCGAAAACGATCGAAAACAAAAGTAGGGAGAAGAAAAGGGAAGCGAAAGCCATTTGTGATAGATTAAGAAATAAATGAATGGAATGGAATGGAAAGGGAACAGGAGATGGATATATAAATGAAGGGAAGGACAAGGTGATTAGAGTAATTAATCTGGGTTTATGCCTAACTCCAGTTTCTTAATATTTTGAAGTCAACGAATGAGCGTCTGCCGCGTGGGGAAATATGATAAGCTGTCTCCGCCGTTATATTTATATGAAGTATATATCTAGTAATTAAAATATTAATTTTTTTATTAATTATGGCGTCAGAACTTACGGTCCGGCGGCTTTACAACTCCGGCCAATAGAACCGGGTTTTTTTTTCATAATTTCTCTCCGGTTTAAGTAAACAGAAAATGTTGGTTCCTTGTTTTTAAGCAGACAGAAATTCGAAATGGAGTTTAAACGCAATTTGCCGAAACAACATGAATCCAACAAACTAGCAATGGACACAGACGATTTTAACCACGACCTACTCCGTAATATATATATATATATATATATATATATATATATATATGTTGAAGATGTGATTAGGCCTAACTTAAAAAAAAGGTGATTTGTTGGTTTGGATTATTTGGTGGATGGTGAGTTGTGTTTAAGATTAAACAATTAAGGAGAGATGATTGATTAAGTTGGCTTCTTATTCTTTTAGAGTTTACATTTGGATTGATAAGTATATCGTTGTAGAACTATCTATACTATATTATAAAACATTTGATAAAAACTTTTAAAAATAATTTTTTATACATAAAGTATTGTTTATTGATGCATATTACTTAAAATTCAAGATTACAAGTAAAATGTGTATGAGTACATCTTATTAAAACTTCAAGTTTAAATTCGTGTAACTAACTGCAGATAAATATAATCAAATACATGATAAACATTATTTTAAACTAGTTGTGTATCCGCACAATGCGACAGGATGCAAAATTTAATGAAAACCAAGAATATAAAATTAATGCAATTGTTGTTTACATCCATTTAAATAATTTCGATAATTACAAAGAATACAAGACGATATTTATGGCTTACCACTTTTCAAAAATTACATTCTTTGTTGTTTTTGCAGCAGGTGTAGTTTCAAAACTAATGGTTGGTGGAAAGTAAACAGATAATGAACACGATTGTGACTAAAACCTGCTCAATCTGCAGTGAAAAACCTGCTCAATCTGCAAGACAACAAGTACCTACTCTTGCCCGGTAAATGATAGTGACGAATCTTACACGGTAAGTGCTTACAAGATAACAATGTTACGTATGACACTTTAATTGACTAAAACCTTACCCGAGAAGTCAAATGAAAATGTTGACTTTTATTGGTAAGCACTTAACGAATAAACAAGAATTGAATAAACAACCCTTTAGTACGACATCCTTTAATATTTAACAACATGTCTCAGCATATTGTTTTTAAGTCTCGTCAAGATCAACATCGTCATTTAACAACTTAATCGAATTACAAAAGTAAAAATTA